TCACCCCCCTCTAGGTCTAGACTAAGGACCTTGTGCAACTCTTTATCAGAGCTTTGGGTTCCAGTCTCTCCCATCAGATGGAATTATCTAACAAGGGTTATAAGATCGATGAAAGAGAAAGGTATAAAGCCTCTAGTTCAAGTGATTCATAGCTGGAGATACTGACTACTCTTATAATGAGGATATCATATATTGGGTAATCTTTCTAATCAATTCATCTTGTAGGAAATTTGCCCCGCCATTCTTGTAACTTAGTGGAAGAACTGAAGAGCCTCTATCTGGTTGAATTCAATGTAACAACTTGTGTTATATAGTTTTAGACCTTTTGGTGCTTTCTAAACTTGAAGATATTTATATTACCTTATAAGATAGATTTGTGACTGTAGTTGTTGACTTTTCATGTAATTCTACTGTGGATATGGCACATATTGAAGAGCAAATAATACGGGAAAGAGATATCGGACATATCATTAAGTTTGTTGGCACTCAATTGAACTTATTTCTCTCAGCTTGTGTGTGTAAAGACAAGTTTAGTTCAATTGTGGACTTGAGTTACATGAGGAAGATGAGTACATTTAGTACGGTTTACGGATTTGTGTTGGTGTAACTTTTGATATTAAACTTAGCCTTCTTCTCTCTCAGTTTCAGCACATGATTATAATTCAATTTAGATTTGAGATGCATGTTGAAGTGGTGCATTGCTTCATTTAATGGTAAAAACTTGGGCTCACAAGCATGAGATGCATGGATAATGAGAGAAGCCACTTTATGGAAAACAATGTCAAATGTCAGGTCTCTTTCTAGTTTTCCCTCCAGCACCCTGCAAAGGTGGGACTAACACCTTTAATGGTCTTTTCTTTCAGATGCATGTGGAAGCTAAGTTCATTTAATATTGGTACATGAATTAACTCAGAATTGACAAGTGAGACATCCATTGGGCACCCAAAGGCAGGATCCTGTAACTTGGCTATGTGTTTCACAAACCTACTAGTTTTTATTTTTTTATTTTTTTCCCTATAACAGCAGTGATTTTGACACTAAGGAGTAGGGAACAAATGAAATATTAGTATACAATACAATATGTAAACTCTATGCTGAGTTAGAAGAAGGAAAAGTGGAGTTATTGTCTATCCTCTTACACTGAGATTTGTTAAGATCTGTTAATGGCAGGGGTGATATCTGAAAGACCTCCGGAACTGGAAGTTGATAGTAAAATTAAATACTAGGTATGCTGGCATTATTTTTGTTTGCTTGTCCTCAACTATAATGGCAAAATCATGTTCATCCATCTTCCATAAAGTAATTTGATGATGCACCCTTCCTGTACTTCTAGTGAAGATTTAAGTTGGTTGATAAAAGTGTTACCATACCCTACTATACCCTTTTATTTTATGTTTTAAAGTGAAGAATCCTCAAGAAGAAGCAAAGGAAAATCAGTTCAAATGGAATATAATTATATAAGTCATGGCTTCATGGTACTAATTCCCGGCAAAAAATATAGTAGCCATTAAACTTTCATTCATTATCTGAGCCAGTTCAATCATCATCTTGCGCAGCATATCCAAGAGCTGGGTATGATGACAGAGAATCCTGCTGTACAATGTCCTATACTACAGCTTACAACATCTGAATGATCTGAATATAACACACCATGTTTAGTGGCAATGATCTCTGCCAGGAGAGATCTGGACATATGATTGCCTACTAAGGAACTCATGAACGAACCTCTGAGATGGCATAGGATCTGGAAAGCGCATCAAAACTTTAAATGCACTAGTTTTAGCTAAAATCAAGCATATGCTTTATCTGGAATATTAACACATGGATGTGGCAACATCCACACTAATGAAATACCTGAAAGGCCCAAATTCCATGATTGCAAAACTCGATAATCTGATTTGACCTTTGATATCTCTTGTGGCCATTGCTTGTGCACTCGTAAAATGCTCGGGCTGTCAAGGTTCAATTCTCAGAAGCAGCCATTTTGTGTAAACTAAATGTTAGGTTTCTAGTCCACCCTTCCCAGTAGCTCAATTGACAAGGGACACACTGGGGAATGACTAATGTTATCTCATTGTCGTAATGTCAGCTGCATGTTTTTCAATTGGTAGTGGACCTAGTGGTACTTCTAACAAACTTTTAAAAAATAAATTAGCATTAAATATCCTTTTTTAACCAATTTGAAAGAGTGCAAACTGTAAGCTTACAACTAAAAAATGGATTGCTTCAATTGTGAGGAGCATTGCACAACTTTCAAGCTTTGTCTCTCTCCTCTAGAGAATAGAAATATGAGGACAATTCATGCAGATCTTGTATTTGACATTTCAAATTTATCATTTTGTGTTGTTTTTTCTTCTTTTTTGCCCTGAATATTGCAATTGCTTAAGGATTAATCTCCTCATTGTTCTCTTCAACAATCCATCTATCGACATATCTGTTGATATGGTTCCTTCTGCAATTTAACAGAGAGTAGTAAAGTATACTTAAGAGGATTTAATGATACTAAAGTTGTGTGTTATACGAATATATAAACCAATGCCACAATTTTATCTTTCTTTGGATTCATTGTGTCCAATTTTTAATTTGTACAATAGAAATTTTGAAGATTTATGGTAGGGCACTGCCAATTGCTAGCTTGAGTGGTATTTCCTGCCTCCACCAAAGGGGTAGGTGTAAGGCTCAAGTCCGAGTTGAGGTGCTGGTGTGTGTGTTTTGCTTATCAAAAAAGGAAAATTTTAGTTTGTGGTAGAATTTTTTAAATAGGAAATTGAATAACCATGCTTAAACTACAGGCTCCAGACAGATTGGAACTACAGAAATAAGAATTTCTGGTACACACTGCGTCTAGGTGACATAAGGAACTAACAATAATGAATGTTAATAGTGTTTATTTTAATTATTTTGTAAGTGTTTCTCGATGGGCTTATTGTTGTAATTGCTCTAGCATTCACATTGATGCCTTTGACCCAGGTCTGTCATTCTGGAAAATTTATTGCCCTTCCTTTCTTGTCATTAAGATAATACCTTCCTTGTGCAAATGCTACTATTTATGAGTAGCTTGTTCCTTTCTCGCCTCATCTCCCTTTTCATGTGGCAAGTGGCATTTAACTTCTAATGCAGTAAAGGTCTTGAGCTTCTTTGCCAGAAGGAAGATTCAAAATGTATACATCAATATTCACGCTGGAGAAGATTATGATATTATTCTTGATCCATTCTTGGCAGAAGAAAATGTTATGATATCACGACTATGTGATATCTTTTTGCATGTTTAGTTAATCAATGTAACTATCTCCATGCTTTTCTCAGTTAAAAATGAGAGTTGCTTACCTGTTCTGCCCCCATTTGATTGAAGATATTTCTGAAATCATCATTAAAGGCGATTGGATGTAGGTCCCACTGACTACTTTTTTTTTTTCCTTGGAAAGCTGAATAAACATAATACCGAATTACATACACACAAAACACACACACACACACATATATATAAGCATAGAATTTTTAGATAAATGTAAATCACTAATTCCTTTTTTTTTTCCCCCGCTTATGGTAGCTAAGAAATGAACACACCCAACACACACACACACACACGATCTCCAATAGTTGCTTGAAATTTCCACCTTCCATATGTGACGAGGAAGAGATATCACTACGGCTAGGCCTTGATAATTTTATTTGTTTTTTAATTCTGTCATTATGAAGGTTTGTCTACCTCTATGTGCGGGAGACCTGGCGTTTTAGTTCTTGTAAACGATTGTGGTTGGGAATTAAGTGGCCAGCTTGCTACTATATTGAAAGAGAAGGATAAAATTGCAACCTTTCATGGTGGTCAATTTCTTAAAGTACTGTTTTGGATGATAACACTCTACACTTTTTAGTACAATCTGGCATCATTATCTTGATTTGAACGTCTTCATTTCTAAATATTGTGATGTTGTGGCCCAAATTTGGTGAGCTTTGCGTGGGTCTTTTGACCCCTTTTTTTCTTGTGGATCGTGGACCCTAATTAGTACTCTCTTGTAGCCCGATATATAAGAACGTTTTGGGTTTGGAGTGCGGAGAGATTTTGAGATACTGAAAATCGCAGAGAAAGAAAGTGGGGGGCTGAAACTTGTAATCTCCTTTTTTTCGCATAGTGAAGACTTTCGCCGGATCTCCACCGTGGACGTAGACTTTGCCCAACCACGTGTAATTCTGTTGTGTTCTTTGTGTGGCTTGTTTATTTTTTGTCGTGATTCTTGGTTTTAGCTTGGGTTTGTTGCGTTTGTCGTAACAAATTTTTTTTTATGTTCAGGAGATCAAGAAGTCGACGATAATAAGGTTGATTCTTGTTGTGGATATTCTTGTCTTCTTTCAAACAGGTTCTTTAATAGTTTCTGAAAGAAAAGACTTAGAAGGAAAGAAGCTAAAACTTAATCTGAATATCTTGATAGATAGTCTTGTTATAAAGAAAATTATTTTGTTACGATTACTAATAATGTGCACACTTGCTAAGAATTTCCTCACATGTTCCTTGGGTGAGAGCTTTTGGTTGGAATCATGTTTCTACAATCTAAGGGTGCACCTTATGTACATGGTTCTCTTCCATTGAGAAATAGAAATGATATATCTCTCTTTTTTTTTTTCACAGTAAATAGTTGTTATGAATCTCTTCTACTATTTCTCACTTATTAATTGCTGAACAAAATCTTTTTTGGATAATGTGTTCCATTTTACGAGGTAACTTATTCAGGAGCAAGGATTTCTAAGATATTAAGAAATATTAGTGCATACTCCCGTCGTGGGGTACAAATTGTGATTTCGTACGTAATAGTTCACCTTAATATTTAATTAGAAAGAAAATCAAAACAAAAGAACCTGTAGTTAATCATGGTGGTAATGATGCAAGTGACAGATGACACTGCAGTCACATTATAGGTGAAAATTTTCTCAGTATTAGATTTATTTTCCTGCTAAATTGCATGGACTAGAAGTAGATGTCAAAAGCATAGTGAACAATGGTGTATGTGAAATGATTGCATGTTTTGTTTTGGACACCGTCGCCTGGAAGAACAAATGAGTGTATCTTTCTATTTGTTTGATCATACACACTAGCAAATGCACTAGCAAATGTACAATTCTGAGCTGAATGCACAGTATTTGTGTTGGAACTTCATAATCTTAATGAATAATTGAATACATTATGTTTATACTTCGACAGTCTTCTGGTTCAGAGCTGTGTATCTCCATCTCTCCTTCTCCACAAAGTCTGCATCTAGGAACTGAGCAACAAAAGACCAAAGCCGGTAGGTGTCCTCAAAATCAGTAAGGAAGCCGAGTGCAGCAGTAACCACTCTTATACCCTGACCAGCTTTGCTTTTCCTCTTGTTCCCCGCTATGTTACATTCTTCAGTTTTTCTTCTCTCTATGACTCTGTCTTTCTCTTCTTCATACTTATCTGAGAACCAAATTTGGTGTAAGTGCCCATAGCTTAGAGAAATATTGCTTCGATCAGCAAGCTTCTGTACAAGAACAGGTTCAACCTTTTCTCCTTTCCAATCATACACATTGAACGCCAATGCTGATCCACGGTTAAATTTTATCTTTGGTCCATAGATTCTGACCAGGGGAACCTTATCCTCTGTGTTAGGATGCTGGAGCTTCATCAAAGCGTTCACTAACCAATTGATCAAGCATCTTGCTCTGCTACTGATCAGTGTCAGTCCCAATGAATCGACATGATCCAAGCCGCTGCATTCAATCACCTCACTCGAGTCACTCCTATTCCCACTGATTTCGGTGCTCTCATGTTGAACTAAATCAGTGTTTTCTTCTGATTCCACAGTTTCTGAAGTTTTAGATTCCTTTTTTTTTGCTGTGACTTCTGTTTTGCTCATCTCAGAGTTCTCTCCTCGATGAGATCTTCCAGAACGCATCCTTGCAGCAGATATAGGACCAGTGAAAGAGCTTGCTTTCACTAAATCTTCTTGTGTCCCATAATTTGATGTTTGTTCGAGTTCTGTGTCAGTGCCCGAAGAATATTCAGGTGACTGAAAGAGCTTATTTGCAGGGAGAAGACTTACTATTCCTGTGCTTGTAGATGCTTCCAAGACCGGAACAGTTGATTTTTTGACAAAGAGGCAAGCAAATCCAGTTGGGGTTTCACCAAAAACCTTGTAGAAGGAACAAATGAGGAAGTCCGGGCGAAAGAGAGAGAGGCCGAAACTGTCCATGTCCTTTGGTCCCAATGCACAAGCATCAAGCAAGACATGCCACCCATTTTCTTGGGCTACACTCATCCATTGATAAGAATAACTGGCTCCAGTCATCCTAGACTGAAGTGGGAAGACTAATAGTCCTCTCTTCTTCTTTTTCTTCCTCTTGCTCACGATCATGTTCTTCAATTTTGCTGAGTGAACCCTTAGTCTTGGCCATTTGAACTCAGCCGACATGATTCGGGCTCCTCTTTTCTCTGATGTATCGACCATGGCTTCCACTGCCTCGCTCTGATAGTCATAAACTGTCAGAAGCTTCCGGCTAGATTGGAAGGGGTAAGATTCTGCTAAAAGTTTAAAAGCTGATGATCTGTTCGCAGTAAAAACCATGGAGTAATCATTCTCAGAGATGTTAAGAAAATCCATGATCCTTTTCTTGATTGCAGATTCCAATTCTGATCCTTGGCCACCATGAAGCAGCTCCAACTTTAGATTTACCAACTTGTAGGAGATGCTGAAAAATGGAAAATCCGAATATTGAGGCTGTGGAGGTGTCGGCAAAGAAGAGGAGGCAACTGGGACCGTTGATGACGACTGAGTGTGAAGCTGCGCGTGGGAGAAGAGACCGATGCCAATATAATCAAGGCAGACGTGATTCGAAAGGGATAGATGGTAGTATTCTTTGGCACGGATTTTGTCTGCCCTTTTCGTATTGGAATATTGTGGATACGCTTTCTTGAACTGAGCAAACGATTCTTGCAGGGAAGGGAGAGACTCATGGTTGGTGAATTTGGTGCTCGGGAAGAAGGACGAAGTGGTCGCCGCCACAAAGTAGCGCCGACAGGTAGCAGAGGTGCTGCTGGACTTGGAAATGGTGTTTTGGGGCTCAGGGAAGTTGAGGAAAGGTCCGTGGCAGCAGCCGTCAAGGCATACTAGTGTGACCTCTCTCAAGCGAGGTGACTGCATATTTTTTTCTGGTCTCTTCCTCTCAACCAACTATTCTTGATATATTTTCCTCTTCTATATCTCTCTTGTTGCTTTCTTTCTTTCAATTAATTTTGATGATTTAATAGGGGGTTAGCTTATTGGTTAAGAAAAGTGTGCCAGTCTTTTTGAAGTGTCTTTGGACAGTTGGTTGGATGGGTCATTCTATTTGATTGTATTGAACGGGTCAGATTAGATTACTTAGGTGACCTTGTCTTCCTTCTTAACAAAAGTGACATTTGCTTTATTTATATCATTGAAAATGTAGAACAGTGGATGCTCAGTACCATCTAGCTGATAGACTTGTAGATCTGAGCCGTAGAATAGGTAGGTACTGAGTCATGATTTATTTTTGTGTGTGTGATTATGTGTTGATTCAATTTTTAATCATGGGATGGATTACATTGGATCAGTTGTGTAGTTGCTCTTTTTTTGAGAATGTGTTAGAAGTGTTTGTTGTGTCATATGTTAGGTTTTCGACTTTGGGAAGCATAGTGGGGGTGAAAAGAAAGCAACAACTGGAAGTGGAGGACAAAAAGAGACTTTGTAGTGGCCGGCATCATCGATGCTTGCCGAAAGAAGATGCTTTGGAGCTTTCTTTGGGCAACTTCTTTTTCGAGTTTTGACCGAGTCTCTCTCTCTCTCTCGGTTATTCGGTAGAAAAGAGGCGGATTTGGATCTTCTCCATTAGGATTTGCTTGGTTAGTCAGAAATTGACGGTGGGAAGTGAAAGGAAAAGAAAATTATGTTTCTATTATGCATTTGGTTAGTATGATTTTTTTTGTAAAACTTTTGTGAAAAAATGTTGTTTCATTAATTTGGTTAGCAAGAAACTGAAAAGAAAATGATTTATATGATAAAACTATCCTTATGAATTTAGTACCAAGTAACATACATCATGCAACAGGCAAAAGTATATGTGCGTGCATATATATAGAGTCCCAATTTAAAGAGTTACAAAATTATAACTTAATTAGGAGTCTTAATTTAAAGAGTCAGAAGATTGTAACTTAATTAGGAGTCTTAATTTAAAGAGTCAGAAGATTGTAACTTAATTAGGAGTCCTAATTTAAAGAGTTAGAAAGTTGTAATATAATTAAGAGTCCTAATTTATAAAAAAGAAGTTCCTCCTTTTTTGAGTTTGAAAAAGAAGGAAGAGAAATACTCCGTAATTGATAAGGGTATTATTGAAAATTAATATATAATGATAAACTTTCACGGGAAATTAAAATTTTCGCGTGTTTTATAGAGGAAATATTTTGAAGAAAATCAACCAATTGTGGGAATGTCACTTTCTTCAAAACTTTCTTTGTCAAGCTGACCAAATTACAAAACAATTTAAAAATTTTCCGTTTCTTTTCCTTTCTAATTAATTGATGCTAACCAAACAAACCCTTAGTTTTTTTCTCCGATTTTTCTTGATGTTTGATCCTATGGTTCAGAATGTACCGCATCAGCTCATCTTTCTTCAATTAACATCATCTCTGTTGAAAAAATTGATGTAAAAGTTGAAATGTTGCATTCTGAATCATAGCATGGGGAAATAAATAAAGGAGAGGACCCTTGTCCAAGGACTGATAAGTCTTGCCATTCATACTCGAAGAAGTGTAACTTACAATTTGGTTTGGGTAATAAACCACTACATTCGTGATAATAGGTTTAATTTGACCGTATGATTTGGTTTTTGAACTTGGTCTTCAATGAAATCATTTCCTTCTAGTGGTTGAGACTTTTTCTTGACGTGTTCTTGCTTTGAAACATAATTCAAATGAGGTGTGTGTGAGTGGGAGAGTAGATCCCACGACATTAGAAGGGTGATGGAATATGATGAGACCCACGTTTTTACTCACATCACTAATATTTGGCATTCTCTGAATTGGGAGGATGTTTCTTTCTTTTCTTTTTCTTTTTTTTTATTTTCTTTTCTCAATAAGTGTACGTTTGAATTAAGAGATTTGGAGGATAGTGAGATAAAAAAAAGAAAGAATAGTGTAAATTATGTTTGGGTTGTTTAAAATGAAAGAAAAGAAAGAATATAAAGAGATAGAGAAAGATAACTATCCCTTCTTATCCTCGTATCCCATCCATTCAAAAAAAAAAAAAAAAAAAAAAGAGAAAAGATGGTGTTTAAGTGGTAGTTCCATAATTTCAAAACTATCCTCAACAATTAAAAGGAGGAAATTATTATTCCGATTATGTCTCATCTATTTAAAAGGGTATGATAGTAATTTGATTGTTATAATTTCTTTTATTTTCTCTCCGTCTCTTATATCCAAACAATAATATTATTATTATTATTATTATTTTTCTCTCATATATATTCAAACATGAATAGAGATTATTGTTTTCCTTTTATTTCTTTTTTCTTTTCACATAATTAATACTATCGTTTTCTTTATTTTCTCTCATGTGTATCCAAACGGAACTTAAAATCAATCCGAAAAATAATGAAATTGGTACGAGGACAAATCATTTTGTGTAAATAATGAGTCCAAGAGGGTTAGAGAGACATTATTAATGAGGTAATTTTGCATTTTAGTGTGATTAATGTGCAATTTTGCATTTGTTGTTGTAGGGGTGTCATGTAGCTTCTTCCGCATTTGGTCATGCACACCTTTTTCTTTGACCTGGCACTTAGTATTGCTTCTTCCATCAACCTATTTGTCTTTCTTCTTTGGTTGCAAACTCCCTCTCCCTCACTCAACACACACTCTGTGTGTGTGACTGTGTTTGCCACATTAGTTTTGTAACAAGTGGCACTCAGATTTTGTGCCACTTGTCTTTTGCGAGTGATTAAGGACAGCTATTACATTCCTTTGTAGCCGTTAAAATTGTTAAGAAGGAAAATTCTATAGTCGGCTAAACCCCAACTCAGCCAAAAAAGAACAGATCAATTTTGAAATAAAATAATACTCTAAACTCACTGGCCGCCTTTGACTTGGCTAATTAAAATGTTTTTAATCATTTGTTGATGTACTTACAAAAACGAATCACATCGCTACAGTAGATGCAACAACCATGTTTTATTTATATATCTCCATCTCTCTTAATGTGCTTTTATATATATTAGGAAAAAATACGTACGAGGCACGTGGTGAATATTTTGTAACTTATAAAATTTTTATTTTTATTAATTAATAAAAATTTATTTTATATTAATAAATAAATACTGAAATATTTTGAAATTGGTGATAGAGTTTAAGTTTCATAAATTAATAAATTCTTTTATATTTTTATATTAATACTGAAATATGTATATTTTATTTTTTATTAAATAATAATTTTTTATTTTAATAGTGAAATATTTGAGTTTTGCAAAGTAACAAATTTTTTTAGATAATTTGAATTTTATTAGCTAATTTGTAATTTGAATTTTATTAGATAATTTGAAATTTAGTATAATTTTTAATTTACAATAGAAATTCAATTATATTAAATTTTAATTAAATTTTAAAATAGAAATTCCATTATACTAATTACACATCAGATTGAAATTGATATAAAAATTTATTATATGGAGTTTGTGGTTTTTAGAAGACCCTAGGTTATATTTTATTTTCTTTAAATATGTAATTTGTGGTAGAATTTTATAGAAATTATTTTATTTTATTTAGATATATCTTTATAAAATTAGATTTTTTTTAATTAAAAAACTCATAAAAAAATAGATAAATACAAGGGTTATATACTTATATGTCATAGAGTTCTCTTTTTGTATTAATTAATAAATATTTTTTATATTAAAAAATAAATACTGAAATGTTCAAATTCTTTTAACATTTATATTTTATTTATATGTATTATTATATTATCATATATTTTCTTTAAATATATCCTTGTCTAATGTGATAGAGTTTTAAAGAAAATAAAATACTTAATTTGTGGCAAAGTTTTGGTAATTTTTGTTAGAGTTTTATAAAAATTATTTAAATATATCCTTATCTAATGTGATAGAGTTTCATTGCAAATAAAATAAGTAATTTGTGGTAGAATTTTATATAAATTATTTATTTTCTTTAAATATATATATCCTTGTCTAATTAGATTTTTTTTTTTTAATTAAACAACTCATAATAAAAGATAATTTGTGGTTGAGTTTTAGAAAAATTATTTTATTTTTTATACCAATTACTAAATATTTTTTATATTAATAATTCTTGTTTAGTTATATTATATTTTATTAAAAAATTCATAATTACATAAATAGTAAATTTTTATTAGAATTATATATAAACTCTTTTTAAAAAATATTTTATTTTCTTTAAATATATCGTTGTCTAATTAGATTTCCTTCATCAAAAAACTCACAATAAATAGATAAAAACAAGTTATATATGATAGAGTTTTAAAGAAAATAAAATAGATAATTTGTGGTAGAGTTTTATAGAAATTATTATATTTTCTGAAAATCTATTTATAATAAATAAATAAATAGGTAATTTGTGTTACAGTTTAATAGAAATTCTTTAAAAAACACTTTTTATATCAATTAATAAATATTTTTTTATATTAATAATTCTTGTCTAATTAGATTTCTTTTTATTAAAAAACTCATAATAAATAGATAAATAGGTAATTTGTGTTAGAGTTTTATAAAAACTCTTTTCAAACCTCTTTTTATATTAATTAATAAATATTTTTTTATCTTAATAATGCTTGTCTAATGAGATTTTCTTTTATTAAAAAAACTCATAATAAATAGATAAATAAGTAATTTGTAATATAGTTTTATAGAAACTCTTTTAAAAACTCTTTTTAGATCAATTAATAAATAATTATTTATATTAATAATACTTGTCTAATTAGATCTCCTTTTATTAAAAAAAAAAAAAAACACTTAATAAATATATAAATAGAAAATTTGAGTTCAAATTTTATAGAAACTCTTCAAATATTATATCTTTGTCTCCTGTGATAGAGTTTTATTGAAAATAAAATTTGTGATTTGTGATAGAGTTTTATAAAAATTATTTTATTTTCTTTAAATATATCCTTGTTTAATTAGATTTAATTTTATTAAAAAACTCACACTAAAAGTTAATTTGTGGCAGAGTTTTAAAAAAATTATTTTATTTTATATATCAATTAATAAATATTTTTTATATTAATAATTCTAGTCTAATTATATTTTCTTTTATTAAAAAATTTATAATAATAAATAGATAAATAGATTAACTTAAATTTTAATAGATA